CTAATCACACATGGGATTTAGTCCCCTTACCAGCTGGAAATCAAGTCGTAGGCATACAAAGTGAAATATAAAGCAGATGAGAGAATAACAATTTTTAAGGCTATATTAGTTCTAAGGGGTACACTTAACAAGTAAATATTGATTATATAGAAACTTTCTCACTAGTTATTAAAATATTAGTTGCAATTGCTGTGAAGGAAGGCTGGGAAATCTTTCAACTAGATGTGAATAATGTATTCCTTCATAAGGATTGAGGAAGTGTACATGGAGGTATCACTAGATCTTGTGGTTGTTAACACTGGGACAAAGAGAGTGGTGTGCGGATTGAACCAATCGCTCTATGGCTTACAGCAGGCCAGCAAACATTATATGCAGAATTGATATAATCCAGAGGCTACAGACATTATAAAAATGATCACTCTTTATTTTACAAGGAGACATAATCCCCAACCATCTGTGTACCTGTGTATGTGGATGATGTGATATTTACTGGGACTGATTCAGTGAAAATGAAGGCTTTCTTTAATGGGAAGTTCAGAATCAAAGATTTGGAAATGCTCCATTACTCTCGGAGGAAGTTTGCTTTAGATCAATTAAAGGAGTATGATTGTTTAGTTATAGCACGTCTCCCCCCTTGATCCTAATCTAAAGTTAAAAGCAAATAAGTATAGAATTCTGCCCCGTCCTACTTATTTTAGGAAGTTGGTTGGTAAACTCAACTTCCTCACAATACTAAGATGGACATAGCCTATAGTGTGCTGGTTTTGAGCTAGCTTAAGAAAGAACCTAGAGAACCTCACTTGGCTGCTGCATTTCACTTGCTGAGAAACATCAAGAAAGATCATACACTGGGGATTTTCTTCTCAAATGAAAGTGACTGCACTGTTAGAGCTTACAGTTACTCTGATTAGGCAGGATGCCCTGAATCTAGAAAGTCTGTTACTTTGTACATTGTCCTATTAGAAAACAGTCCTATCTATTAGTTGGAAATCCAAGAAGCAAGAGATCATCTCCTTATCTTTAGTAGAGGCAGAGTATATATCTCTAAGAAAGATTGTTGGGGAGTTGGTGTGGCTTAGCAGGGTGTTTGAGGACTCACTATTCCACATTTCAAGTCTATTACTGTCACTTTGTGACAGCCAATATGCTATACACATTGCAAGAAATCTTGTATTCCATCAATGAACTAAGCACATTGAGGTGGATTGCCACTTTGTGAGGAATAAGTTTCAGGATGGATTGATCTTTTTGGACCATATAACTACTAATGAGCACTTGGCGAACATACTCTTAAGGCTCTTACATGGACCAAGCACTCGGCAATTATGGGCAAGCTGGTTGTGAGAATGTATCTTAGGCAGAGTCACAGTTGAATATAGTTTGCAGAGTCGGTTGAGTAGTTAGCTATTTTTTTTTTCTATACATGTACAACTACCACACAAGTATATGTATTGTGATATAGTAATGAGAATTTACGGTTTTTATTTTTCAAATTATCGTATCTATGCTTCTTCTTCATTCATCTAATCTTCTCTATAGAACTTACTGGGAATCACCATTGGAGCTCAAGATTGAGCTCATTTCCTCTCAATCGTCACAATTTTGATATCCATAATAGAGCAGCCAACTTAAAATTCTTACATCTGCTCCTACTCGTCGTGCATCACAAACACATCTAACATAACGTAATGTTCCTATATATATATACACACACACAAAAAAAAAAAAAAACGAAACAACA